CTTGATCTTCATGTGTCCACGGTAAGACAGACTGTCTACAAATGGAGAAAGTTTAGCACTGTTGCTACTCTCCCTAGGCGTGGTCGTCCTGTAAAAATGACTGCAAGAGCACAGCGCAGAATTCTGCAGGAGGTAAAGAAGAATCCCAGAGTGTCAGCTAAAGACCTACAGACATCTCTGGCACATGCTAACATTTTTGTTGACACATCTACAATAAGGAAAACATTAAACAAGAATGGAGTACATGGGAGGACACCACGGAGGAAGCCATTGCTGTCCAAAAAGAATATTGCAGCACATTTCAAGTTTGCAAAAGAGCACCTGGATGTTCCACAGCACTACTGGCAAAATATACTGTGGACAGATGAAACCAAGATTGAGTTGTTTGGGAAGAACACACAACACTATGTGTGGAGAAAAAAAGGCACAGCACACCAACATCAAAACCTCATCCCCACTGTAAAACATGGCGGAGGGAGCATCATGGTTTGGGGCTGCTTTGCTGCCTCAGGGCCTGGACGGATTGTTGTCATTGATGGGAAAATGAATTCCAGAGTTTATCAAGACATTTTGCAGGAAAACGTACGACCATCTGTCCGCGAACTGAAGCTCCGCAGAGGATGGGTGATGCAACAGGACAATGACCCAAAGCATACAAGTAGTTCAACAAAACAATGGCTGCAACAGCACAGAATACGCCTTCTGGAGTGGCCCAGTCAGAGTCCTGACCTCAACCCGATTGAAATGCTGTGGCATGACCTTAGGAGAGCGATTCACACCAGACATCCCAAGAACATTGCTACACTGAAACAGTTTTGTGCAGAGGAGTGGTCCAAAATTACTCCAGATCGTTGTGCAGGTCTGATCTGCAACTGCAGGAAACGTTTGGTTGAGGTTATTGCTGCCAAAGGAGGGTCAACCAGTTATTAAGTCCAAAGGTTCACATACTTTTTCCTCCCTGCACTGTGAATGTTTCCATGTTATGTGCAATTAAACCATGGCAACATCTAATGTTTGTGTAGTATTATGTTCAGCAGACTGTGTTCTTCTATTGTTGTGACTTAGATGACGTTCAGAGCACATTTTATGCCCAATTCATGCAAAACTCCACGTAATCCCAAGGGGTTCACATACTTTTTCTTGCAACTGTATGTGTGTGTGTGTATATATATATATATATATATATATACAATTTTCAGTCAATTAATGCCTTAGGTATTCTTCACCTTCTTCCTCCAATGGAGGGTGCAGAGGGCATAGTGCCCTTCTTTGCAGTATTCTCCTGGAAGTCCAGGGTGCAAGAGCGCTACTGATTAATGCACTGTTGGGGTGGGATGTTGGGCTATGGGGGAGTCAGGTGGCAGTTTTGTGTAAGAGAGTTGCGGTACAGGGTATTTTAACCCCCTGCTGCAACACTTAGCAAGGTAAAAAAACAGTAGTAAAAAGAAAAGGCTTACTTCTGTTTATTCAGCCTGGCTACATTACAGAAATAAATCCTGAAGGTTTGATTGGGCTATAAGTAGACTTCGAGCAGCTTATTTCAAACACCTGGAACCAACCTTCAACTGCTTTTTGAGGATGTTAAACACAGGTCTCAGTTCACCAGTCTTTTACCAGGTTTCACGTATTGTAGCTTTCTGAAACCTGCCAGGACCTTGCGTGAAGCTGCTGACAGCTTTATTTTTGGGACAGTAGCTCTGCTTTTCAGAGCTGAGAGAGCCTGTGTAAATTCTGCAGTTTGAATGGATATAGGGGACAGAAAGCTGTAGATAGACAGGTACAACTTATGTAGTAGGATGTTTCATCTCAGCGTATCACCTGAGGCCAGTCACTTCACTGGGTAAATGTAAGGGTTTACAACCACTTTAAAGGACAGCTTCACCTGGCTTATACTTACCTTTTAGCCTCAGATCCAGCAATCTTACTGCTGACATAGACCCAGCTAGTTTCTCCCATTTCTGTGTAACTGCAAAAAGGCCCCATTTTTTTCTTTAGGGAGAGTATGGCTGCCTAAACAAAAACAATGGGGTGCATTAACAGAATGAAGAGGATTCAGCCAGATCCATGTTGGCCCTGGGGTTGCTGTATTGGGACTAGAGCAAAGTATAAGCCCAGGCAGCCTGCAATTGAGAATGAACAAATTCAGTGAATCGATGCAAAATGTGTTTGTGTGTGTTATGGTCATAGTTTTGTATACTGATCTATCTGTTAGTAAACCAGGCCTATTGCATTGCTCCAGTAGGATTGCCACCTGGCCAATGAGGACTCATACACTTGGGTGCACAGGGCTGCATGATGTTTTAAGGATATGTATTTCTGCACCCGGGAGTCTCGAGCATTTATGCAGCCTGTACAAATCAATAGCAGGCTGACAGACACCATGGGGTAGATTTACGAAAACTGGTGCAGCTGTATATGGTGGTCAATCAGCTTCTAACTTCAGTTTGTTCAACTAAGCTTTGACAATAAAACCTGGAAGCTGATTGGTTTCTATGCAAAGCTGCACCAGATTTTGCACTCTCCAATTTTAGTAAATAACCCCCCCCCCCCCCCCCCCCATGATTATGTACGTCTGAGTAGTTACCTGTGTACAGGGATGAAAAAGTAGCCTGTGGCCAGGGCACTTATTCATCCCTGACCCTTACGCAAGTGGGGGGTATACAAAGACCCGTGACTCCCAAGCACAGATGTTATGAATAGGAAAATAGATCATAAGTCTGGCAGGTTTTTCTAGAAAAGGCACTCATCAAATATTTTTAGCCAACATAAAGCAGGCTGGCAAAGCTTAGGGTGCAATACACTTTCTATATCTATATATATATATACTATATTGCCAAAACTATTGAGACACGCCTCCAAATCATTGGGTTCAGGTGTTCCAATCACCTCCTTGGTCACAGGTGTATAAAATCCATCACCTAGGCATGCAGACTGCTTCTACAAAACAGTTGTGAAAGAATGGGTCACTCTCAGGAGCTCAGTGAATTCAAGTGTGCTGTGATAGGTTGTCCCCAGTGCAATAAGTCCATCTGTGAAATTTCCTTGCTACTAAATATTCCACGGTCAACTGTTAGTGGTATTATAACAAAGTGGAAGCAACTTGGAACAGCAATTCAGCCATGAAGTGGTAGGCCTTGCAAAATGACAAAGTGGGGTCAGCGCATGCTGAAGCGCAAAGTGCACAGAAGTCGCCAACTGTCTGCAGAGGCAATAGCTAAAGGCCTGCAAACTTCGTGTGGCTTCAGATTAGCACAACAGTGCGTAGAGAGTTTCATGGTATGGATTTCCATGGCTGAGCAGCTGCATCCAAGCCTTACATCACCAAGTACAATGCAAAGCGTCGGATTCATTGGTGTAAAGCATGCCACCACTGGACTCTACAGCAGAGGAGATGTGTTCTCTGGAGTGATGAATCGCGCTTCTCTGGCAATCCAATGGATGTTTCTTGGTTTGGCGGTGAACGGAACTTGCCTGACTGCATTGTGCCAAGTGTAAAGTTTGGTGGAGGGGTGATTATGGTGTGGGGTTGTTCTTCAGGGATCGGGCTTGGCCCCTTAGTTCCAGTGAAGGGAACTCTTAAGGCATCAGCATACCAAGACATTTTGGACAATTTCATGCTCCCAACTTTGTGGGGACAGTTTGGGGATGGCCCCTTCCTGTTACAACATGACTGCACACCAGTGTACAAAGCAAGGTCCATAAAGACATGGATGAGCAAGTTTGGGGTGGAGGAACTTGACTGACCTGCACAGAGTCCTGACCTCAACCCGATAGAACACCTTTGGGATGAATTAGAGCGTAGACTGCGAGCCAGGCCTTCTCGTCCGACATCAGTGCCTGACCTCACAATGCACTTCTGGAAGAATGGTCAAACATTCCCATAGACACACTCCTGAACCTCGTGGACAGCCTTCCCAGAAGAGTTGAAGCTGTTATAGCTGCAAAGGGTGGGCCAACTAATTTTTGATATATATGTCTTTTAACTGCTTCCTGTCTGCCTTATAGCAGAAGTACTGCTATAGGGCGGCACGGATGCGCAAAATCACATATATATACGTGATTTTGCATTTCCCGGTAGGGTGCATGCGTGTGCCCTACCCACGGCACCATTTGCGGCCGTGACTGTCAATCACCGGGTCCTGGCCAGTGATTAGTAAACAAAACAGTTTTCTCCCCTGTCAGCTCCTGCACACTGCTTTGCATAGCTGTGCAGAGCACAGTCATGCAAAGCAGTGTGCTTACAGTGAAGCACTAACACACAGCCCCTAGTAAAACAGCACACAACACACTGTTAACCCTTTGATTGCCTCACATATTAACTCCTTCCTGCCCAGTGCCATTAATACACTGTCAGTGCTTTTTGTTAGCACTGATCACTGTATTGGTGTCACTGGGGATGTCAGTGGCACCAAGTAAGTTCCCCCCAGTGCCAGAATGCCCAGCGCAGTCCTGCTATAAGTCGCTGATTGCCACCATTACTAGTAAAAATAAATAAAAAAGCTCAGTATATATACCGCCATTTGTAAACACTATAATTTTCACGTAAACCAATTAATTTACAGGTATTGGGATTTTTGTTTTTAGCAAAGACATGTAGCAGAATACATTTTGGCCTAAATTTATAAGAAAATTTGATTTTTTAAATTTTTTTCACTGGGCATGTTGAATAGCAAAAAGTAAAAAATATTGTTTTTTTTCTCAAAACTGTTGACTTTTTTTTTAGTGCAAAAAAATAAAAACTGCACAGGTGATTAAATACCACTGAAAGCTCAATTCGTGGGGAAAAAGGATGCAAATTTGATTTGGCTGCTGCGTTGCATGACTGTGCAATTGTCAGTTAAAGTAACGCAGCGCCGTAATGCAAAAAATGGCCTGGTCAGGAAGGTGGGGGTAAATCCTCTGGAGGGCAAGTGGTTAAAGAGTAGGATTTTGGTCATAAAGAAAAGTTCCAGCTTCAGTCATTTCCTAATGCCAGAGTCAAACATGGCTACTTCTAGCCCATGTGTCTCAGCGTAATGACGCATGTGACGGTAGGCGAGGCATTGACGTACAGCTGGAGAGGCGGAGCCGGGTGCTGTAGCGTGTTCGGTAGCGCTGGAGGTGTAGGGCTCGCTCCGGGTGTCGGGATGGCGGTGTACCATGATGAGGTGGAGATCGAGGACTTCGAGTATGACGAGGATACGGAGACGTATTATTACCCCTGTCCGTGCGGGGACAAGTTCGCCATCACTAAGGTATGATGATCACAGATGAGAGAGCGCTCACGTGTCACATGACTCAGAGCATCAGTGGGCTGTGACAGCTGACACCCGGGGCGTGGTCTGTGACTTCTTATACAAGCCTTACATAGCACTGGGGGCAGTCGAGGTTAGTTCACGTTTGTAATGACTTTTGCTGTTCAGCCTATGGCCTCAAATAGTAGACAGATGACCCAAGTGTGGCGAAGCCTGGCCTATAAAGTAGTATTCTGGGTGATGAGTAACATCTGGCTGGGAGATATGGTACATTGAGTGCGCCCGCACAATCAAATGAAGGCCATATTCACATCTAGCGATTTGAGACGCAGGGGTTTGTTTACGTGCCATGCATAGGGCAGCCTATTGATTTCAATGGGCTGTTTACTTGCGGAAAAGTAGCTCATGCAGCATTTCGGGTTGCACATTTTTGCCGCATTTGTTCGTGTTAGCATGCAGCAAAATGCATGCTTGCTTCCTGCATTTTGTGCCATTAACAATGGCACCACAAGCATGTCATGCATTTCCAGTTGTGAATGGGCTCTAAGAAGCTTAGAGGTTCTGTATTGCTCCTCCCCGCCGTCCACAAATCCACACATGTGCAGAGCCCTCTCCCTCCTTGTCCTGCGGATTTGTGGCTGAGCAATACAGCAGATCCTTCCTGTGATGATGGGGACACGCTCAACATACCATCCAGCCTAGCTTATAGGTAGTGTGGTGCCAGTCACTCAGAATGCTGCTGTTTTGGCCAGGCTTTACAGAAGCCACTTGCCTACAGGGCATTTATATCCCCTTGCTGCCCAGGCCAATTTTCAGCTTTCAGTGCTGTCACACTTAGAATGACAATTGTGCGGTCATGCAACACTGTACTCATACAAAATTTTTATAATTTTTTTTGAGACAGAGCTCTTTTTTTGTGGTATTTAATCACCTCTGGGTTTTTTATTTTTTGCTAAACAAACCAAAAACAACTGAAAATTTTGAAAAAAATGTTTTTTCTTCGTTTTTGTTATAAATTTTGTAAATAAGTGATTTTTCTCCTTCACTGATGTGCGCTAATGAGGCTGCAGTGATGGGCACTGATAGGCTGCACTGATGAGGAGGCACTGGTAGGTGGCACTGGGCATTGACCGGCATCACTGATGGGCACTGAAAGGCAGCACTGACTGGTACTGATAGGCGGCACTGACTGTCAGCACTGATAGGTGGCACTGACTGGCATTGATAGGTGGCACTGATATGTGGCACTGATGGGCATTGGCAGGTGGCATTGATGAGCACTGACAGCTGGCATTGATGGACCCTGAAAGTTGGCACTGCTGGGGCTACACTGATCATCAGTGCCCTGATGATCAGTGTACATGTCCCCTCTGAGTAATGCTGATTACTGGCTCTCCTCTCAAGCTGTCAGCGTGACAGCTCATGAGGAGAGAAATGCTGATAACCGGCATTTCCTTATTTACATGCGATCAGCTGTGATTGGACACAGCTGATCACATGACTGAGCCGACATCTTCGGATTTTTCCATTGATCGGTGATCTGCTGTGTCCGAGGGACACAGTGCACCACTGATCAACGTGCTGCGCGCCCCTGGAGCCGCGCACGCGTGGGAGGACATCATATGACGTCCTCCCAGAACAAGAGAACCTCCTTGCACCCGTCATTTCCTTATATGGCGGGTGGGAGGCGGTTAAAGGAAACTCAATTTGTCCACATTGCACCACAATTTATAAACTATCGGGGCCCCTTGAATACACTGCGGGCTTAACTACTTGACAACCGGGCTATAGCTGAATGACAGCTACAGCGCGGTTGTCAAATTCTGGGAGGACTTCATTTGACATCCTCAAAGAAATCGCGCCCAGCGGCACACACCCGGCGCTGTCTGTGATCGCTGTATCCTACAGACACAGCTGATCACATGATAAGGTAAAAGGCTAATCATAGCGGCCTTTTACCACATGATCAGCTGTGTCCAATGACAGCTGATCACAAAGTAAATAGTTGCCAGTTATCGGTAGCATTTTCCTCATGCTGTCACAGTGTGAGGAAAGTGCTGCCGATAACCAGCAAGTGTCACAGAGGACATCTGCACGATTATCAGTGCAGCCCCAAAAGTGTCCATCAGTGCCACCTCATCAGTGCAGCCTCATCATCATCAGAAAACCTTTTTTTTTGTTCATTTTTTGCTCTTTTTTTTTTTTTTTTGTCTATAGTGCAAAAATTAAAAAAACCCAATGGTGATTTAATAACACCGAAAGAAAGCTCTATTTGTGTGAAAACAAATTATAAAAACCTCATTTGGGTACAGTGTTGCATGACCACGCAATTGTCATTCAAAGTGCAAGAGCGCTGAAAGCTGACAATTGGCCTGGGCAGGTAGGCACGTGGCTAAAGTGGTTGTAAATCTCAGACATGAAATATGAACAAAGCATATCGCTTTATATTTTGTACTTGTCTCAATCCAGAGCACTAAGTGTCCTTTCTGTCTGCTACCTAGTTCCTCTGCTGTAAGCATTTTTTTACTTCTGACAAGTATTCCTGATACCAAGGGAAAAATGGTGACGTAAGGGACCTCCAGAAGATTGAGAGCCTCAGCTGTCAATGAAGGGGGGTGTGCCCGATTCCTCCAATCAGCCCTCAGAGCTTTCCTCATTGATTTAACTTTAACTTGATTCAATTCAATGCTTTTCAGAGCTGAGTGATCCTGTGCAAATTCTGCACCTTGAGAGCTGATTCCCACATGTGCGGTGCAGATTGAAGCTCAGGTTTCACAGCTGATTAACACAGTAGTTGTTCAGCAGTTCAGATCAGGTTTAGGTGGGGATTTTATCCTTTTCACACATGTGCAGTGTAGAAATGGTTCCCAAATAAGTCAATAGCCTGTAATCCACACCTGGATCGAACAGCACTCTTTTTCAATCAGCACTGTCAGTGCACTGGACATACAGTCATGGCCGAAATTGTTGGCAGGCCCTTGAGGAAATCTGTATTTCTCACGAAACGTATTGCATTAACACATGTTTTTTAAACATGTTTATTCCCTTTGCAAAACAAAAAAAAAGGGAGGAAAGAAAGCAAATTCGAGTCAGGGTCTGACAAAAGTATTGGCACCCTTTCACAACTGCGGATAAATAAGAATGTTACAAGCATGTGATGCTACTCACCTGGGGCAAGTAACAGGTGTGGGCAATATAGAAATCACACCTGAAAGCAGATAAAAAGTTCACTTAACCTTTGCATTGTGTGTCTGTCTGTGCCACACTAAGCATGGACAACAGAAAGAGGAGACGAGAACTGTCTGAGGACCTGAGAACCAAAATTGTGGCAAAATATCAACAATCTCAAGGTTACAAGTCCATCTCCAGAGAACTAGATTTGCCTCCACAGTGCGCAACATTATCAAGAAGTTTGCATGGCACTGTAGCTAATCTCCCTGGTCGTGGAATGAGGAAAATTGATGAAAGATTGCAACGCAGAATAGTCCGGATCAGCCCCAAAACATGTTCCAAAGACATTCAAGCTGTCCATCAGTGTCAGCGCGAACTATCCGTCGACATTTAAATGAAATGAAACGCTATGGCAGGAGACCCAGGAGGACCCCACTGCTGACACAGAGACATAAAAAAGCAAGACTACAGTTTGCCAAAATGTACTTGAGTAAGCCAAAAGCCTTCTGGGAAAACGTCTTGTGGACAGATGAGACCAAGATAGAGCTTTTCGGTAAAGCACATCATTCTAGTTTACCGAAAACGGAATGAGGCCTACAAAGAACAAAACACAGTACCTACGGTAAAATATGGTGGAGGTTCAATGATGTTTTGGGGTTGTTTTGCTGCCTCTGGCACTGGGTGCCTTGACTTCATGAAATCTGAGGATTACCAAAGGATTTTGGGTCGCACTGTAGGGCCCAGTGTCAGAAAGCTGGGTTTGCGTCCAAGATCCTGGGTCTTCCAGCAGGACAATGACCCCAAACATACGTCAAAAAGCACTCAGAAATGGATGGCAAAGAAGCGCTGGAGAGTTCTGAAGTGGCCAGCAATGAGCCCAGATCTAAATCCCATTGAACACCTGTGGAGAGATCTTAAAATTGCTGTTGGGGAAGGTGTCCTTCCAATAAGAGAGACCTGGAGCTGTTTGCAAAGGAAGAGTGGTCCAAAATTCCGGGTGAGAGGTGTCAGAAGCTTATTGATGGTTATAGGAAGCGACTGATTTCAGTTATGTTTTCCAAAGGGTGTGCAACCAAATATTAAGTTAAGGGTGCCAATACTTTTGTCCAGCCCATTTTTGTTTTGTGTGACATTATGTCATATTTGCTTTTCTGCCTCTGTTTTATATTTGTTCCAATACATACAAAGGGAATAAACATGTGTATAGCAAAACATGTGTTAATGCAATACCTTTTTTGTGTGAAATACTTGATTTTCAGTCAAGGGTGCCAACAATTTCGGCCATGGACTGTATGTGAATAGGCACCATAGGAAGCAATGTTATTTACACATGACATGCATATTGGATGCGCTTCAAATCGCATCCAATCTGCATATATGTGAACCAGCACTAAATAGATGGAGGGGTAAGATGGCTGTAGATAGAAAGGTACAACATATGTAGTAGGATGTGTTTCATCTCAGTGTATCACCTGAGACCAGTCACTTCACTGGGTATAAGTAAGGGTTTACAACCACTTTAAATATAAACTTGAGCTAACGCTTTAAAGTGACACTAAACGATTCCCTTATTTAGCGTAAAATAATACATACACATTTACTACTTATTAGCCTTGTAATCTATTTTTAATGAAATTGTTTATTAAAGTGTTACTAAACCCAGGAGCCTGCATTCACTATATCTGGTCTCACACAGTACATACAACATGGAAATGCAATTATTTTAGTAAATAAACTGCTCAATACCTTATCTCATCAGTAGTTGGAGCAGTCTTGTGACTTCTATCAGTGTCCAGCCAAGCACTGGTTAAAGCTTGTAGGAGGAGTTTTTATTTTGCTCTAGGAGGATGCAGAACCCCTGACCTCTGTCTGGACAGTGCTATTTGGACCTGTGCTGATCACATGCACTCTCCCAGAAAAAAAAACCTCTAGCAATACACACCAAACTGAGCATGTGCAGAGTGACTGCACATATGTCTAATCAGGAGATAAGAGGGGAGCCCGGGAAGAAGGGGAGGATCAGAGAAGACAGGATCAAACATACTTTTTACACAATGCAGAGGATTAACCCCTTAGGTTCCACAGTGAGTATAACAAGCATGCTTTACTCCATATACAGACTGATGTTACTGTTGTGGGTTTAGTAACACTTTAATGGGTTTATCTGCCTTCTTGTAAAGTCCTTTTGTGAGCTCCCGAACCTCTCCTTTTCCCCCTCATTTCTGTGTTTTTTTTTTTTTTTTATATATACAAGCAAGTTAGTTTCAGTCATGCGCACTTCTCTATACATCCTACAAATGTCATAATTGTTAGCCCATCTCAGGAGTGAACAGGGGTGGCTCATTCCTTTATACAGCTGGACTATGAAGATTGAATGTAGACTCCCTCTAACAGAAAGTCAGATCATAGCAAGTAAAAAAAAAGGAATTTGGAGGAGACTGAGAGCAATATTTTTAAAATAATTTCTGCATACATACTGTATACTAACACATTATGGCTGAAAGCTCCTGGGGCCTTATTGTTTTGTATCAATGGTTTACTTCTGCTTTAAAGCAAGTTCCCTACCACTGGTAATCGCTCCATGTGCTGTTACATGCAGATGTGGCTGCCTGTCATTCATTTGTGCAGACTTCCTGCTCACAGCTGATAATGTGTACCTATGATTCTAGCTGTTAAAGGATAGGTTCATCTATATATTCAGGATGTAACATGTTGTGAAAGCATCGGCTTTGACAGCTAGCGGGGGATCTTCTTCGAACCCAAAAGTCCACCCCCCACTAGCTTTAAGAATACACCATATGCACCTAATCACCTGTGTGCAGGGCTGGTGCTAGACTATTTTGCACCCTAGGCAAGACCAGCTACTTACGCCCCCTCCCCCCATCAAAAAATAAATATATTTTTTAAAAAACAGAAAATTTTAAATCAACACAACATGAAACTGCTAAATTTCTTTTAATTTGCAAAAATAAGTGCCATGAGATACCACAAGCATCAATATTTAAGATAAAATCAGTGTCACAGATGGACTGTATCTGTGGCTGGCAGTGGCAGGGTGACAGTTGCAGTGAGTGGAGGATGATGGATCCACACTCTGACAGATCCTAGGCTGGAGTTCCCCAGGCAATGGGGGGAGATAAAACGCTGTGACAGCAGGCAGCTGAACTGAGCGATCCCCACAGAGTTACAGATCCGATACAACACCAACACTGACACAGATCAGCAGGCACTAGAAGAGCAGGTTGTGGAATTGTGAAGATGTCATCGCTCACTGTCACACTGCACATGTGATGGATGTCCGGCCAGCTGGGTCATACTTGCACAGACACAAGACATCAGAGTCAGACATTACCTTCTTCCGTAGGCGCAGCTCCACCTCTGCTGATGAATAGGAAGAGAGAGGCTGGACCTCCACAGCGATCAGCAGCCGACTTGCAGTATGGGACTGAGTCTGAGAGGAACACTGGAAGGAGCCTAAGCTCGGCTGCTACACTGGCTCCAGACATCCGGCATCTTCCTGTCCTTTCTTCCTCCCCTCTGCTGCCCCTCCTATCAGATGAAGATTCATTCATGACGTGGTGACACAGAGTGCCGGCCTGTGCTGCGCCCAGGCATCCCTAGGTGGCAGTGTGCCCTAGCGGCCGCCTAGTTTGCCTAGTGGAAGCACCAGCCCTGCCTGTCTGCACGAGTATCAGTAGTACACAGAAATGGAAATATTAAAGAATCACGGACTATAGACTCATTTAGGTACTCTTGTGCTGCATAATGATTTTGAAAAACAGAACCAAGAAAAATTTAATCTGTTAGTGGTGACCCAGATTTGTCTAGCCCAGCCTTTTTTAACCAGGGTGCCTTCTAGTTTCTTCACGGGTGCCTTGGCAAAATGCCTAAAAACTGTATACAAGCCAGCAGGTGGATCAAGACTGCCACAGATTTTCATTGTACACCGTTACAACTTTCTAGCTGCTGGTGACATAACAACCAACGATGTCATAAGTTGATAAGGACACTGGGCACCAGCACAGCATTCTTGTTTGCCCCTCTCTGTCAGCATTGGGGTCACACTAGCCGAGAGAGAGAAACTGAGGGAGAGGAGAAACAATGGAATACTACCGGTTTGCAAAGGTGTATTTGCTTTGGAAGAATAAATCATCTCTAACATTGAGTGTCCTACATGTACAGATGTTGCTGCGTTCTGTAAAACTATTTGTTTAATTTTTTACATTTTGCACTGCTCTAGCCAAACAAAATAATTTACAGCCTGACACATATTAACCCTGTTTTTTTTCTGGTAGATTTTAGCGTCCGGTGACGGTTCTAACTCTTGGGTTGTTCACATTTTTATTTTCAGGAAGATTTGGAAAATGGAGAAGAAGTTGCAACATGTCCTAGCTGTTCATTACTTGTCCGAGTCATCTATGATAAGGTGGGTCACACACTCCACTCATTGGGTCAGAGTTTTTCTAGCTTTTTTTTACACAGAAATATCAGCTCAGTAAGGGATGCTAATGCTGAATAATAGCTGTATTATATCTGTGAAAATGTGGAATGCTGTTCTCTGACAGAATCTATTTCTGTAAGGTTGGGTCAATGGGTTGAGCTGTCAGCCCAATCACTGCGAGAATAACCGTTAGTAGCAGTCTGGTCACAGCATGTGAATATGCTCAATCTTGGAGGTACATCTTTTTATGGGCTTTCATTTACTCATGAACAGGGTATGAAGAGTGACAAAATAGCTAGAGATCTGTGTTTTGGGGCATAAAAAGTGACACTATATTGCCAATAGTATTGGGACATCCCTCCAAATCATTGTTCCAATCACCTCCATAGCCACAGGTGTATAAAATCCAGCACCTAGGCATGCAGACTGCTTCTGCACACATTTGTGAAAGAATGGGTCGCTCTCAGGAGCTCAGTGAATTCAGGAATGGTTTATGTGATAGGTTGTCACCTGTGTAATAAGTCCATTTGTGAAATTTCCTTGTTAGAAAATATTCCACGGTCAACTGTTAGTGGTATTATAACAAAGTGGAAAAAACTGGGAACATCAGCAACTCAGCCACGAAGTGGTAGGCCACATAAAATGACAGAATGGGGTCAGCACATGCTGAAATGCACAGTGCGCAGAAGTTGCCAACTGTCTGCAGAGTCAATAGCTAAAGACCTCCAAACTTCGTGTGGCCTTCAGATTAGTGCAACAGTGCATAGAGAGCTTCATGGAATGGGTTTCCATGGCCGAGCAGCTGCATCCAAGCCTTACATCACCAAGTGAAGTGCAAAGTGTCGGATGCAGTGGTGTAAAGTACACTGCCATTGGACTCTAGAGCAGTGGAGACATGTTCTCTGTAGTGACGAATCATGCTTCTCTGTCTGGCAATCCGATGGAAGTCATGGCAGAGGTATGAGCATAGAGATTAAAAGCCAAGCGCTTTTAATATTAGGGCACTTACCTGTCCAGGCATCCAGTGGTGTTCTCACCCCGAGCCGATTCTTCAATCGGCTGTCAGGAGCTGGCGCAACCATCTTGACTAAGGGAAACCAACAGCGAAGCCTTACAGCTTCACCGCTGGTTCTCCTACTGCACATGGGCAAAATGCACTGCACTTTGTGAATGGGTCGCAGTCCTCTGGGACCTGTTGATTTTCTGAGGGCTGCAGGAGGGACAAACTCCTGGCTCAGTTTGCTGCAGCAAACTGAGCCGGAGATGGGCGCAGGTACTTGTCAAAACCAGGTACCCGCTCCCTCCCAAAAGGTGCCAAATGTGGCAGCGGAGGTGGGAGGAGGCAGAGAAGCGTAGCTTCCACTTTTGCGTGGAACTCTGCTTTCAGAAGGACCCAAACTGGAACAAGAGGAGAAGGAGCTGCAGCATTACAGGACTGCAGCTTTAGGTAATTTTATAATGAAAAGGGGCTTGGGCTTCCTTAGTAGACCGAGGTTGGCCACACAAAAAATACAGGAAGGCAAGTAAAATGCCAGGGTGATTTATTGATCGAAGTTTAGGTTTACATCTAAACAAACCTGATGGAGTAGTTGTGCACTTTGAGGTAGGTCCTTCTATATTTGAAGGGAGGGGGTTCTTTACACTGGTGTGACCCTGTCTACACAATAATAACTTGCAAAGATCAAATGTTTTTTTTTTCACTTCAGGATGATGTATTTTACAATAAAATGTAACTTGCTTTAATCACAGGTCACACCACTGCGATTTATGTGCTTATTGCTACTCGTGAAGATTTTCAATAATTTCTTTCAATTCGCAGTGCGATTTCTGTTCTATGTATGTGAAATCGCAACAAAACTGCAGAAATAGTAATGAAGAACTACTTTAGAAATCGCGCTGCAGCAAATCGCACGTGTTAAGACACTGATATTCATTCGATGCGATTTCAATTTGCAAATCGCATCGGTATGACCACTGTACATGCGTACAATAGGGTGCGATTTGCAAGTCGCATGCCAAGTCACACGCCAAGTCGCACCTGGTGTGATCGGGGACTTAAGTTTAGTTTTTTTGTGATAACATCAAGGGTGGTCTGGCTGTTGTCCGTGATTAGCATGTAAGGTCTTTTTGCTCACCTCAACCTAATGTGACTTAGATTTTCTCTGAAGTCCCTAGACTTGGCTCCCTCATCCAGAAATCATGGACCTGCAGCCTCTGCCTAGCTTGCTCCGTTCCAGCAGCCACACAAAAGACAATCTGGCCAGCAAATTGCCTGGGAGACCATTGAAATCCATAGTTTTACAGTGCAGTAAAAGGTTGCAAACTGCAGCCTGCATCTTGGTGTTTTTTTTTTTTTCTGAAATATTTCAGACTTGGAATTGTGGAGAGACATTGAAATGTATCTATTTGTTTTTGTTAATGATCTTTCAAGCACTGATATATGACAGAACTTGATAATAACAATGATGTTATATTTGCAGGATGAATTCATGAAAGGGGAAGCTGTTCCTGAACCGGTTTCTGGCAAAACTGAACTGTTAAAGTGCTGATCATGAATTTGAGCTTTATCCTTCTGTGTGGACGCCCCATTGCTGCTGCTGGACTGCTGTTTAAATCCTCCCTTTTGGATACAAGACTTGTTACAGTTGGCTACTTGTTCCAGTTTGTTTTAAAATTTCACAGCACATAACTAATGTGCAAGTTTTTCATTGCTGCATATCAGATGGCAAATGAAAGTGCTTTTCTTTGGGTTGCAGTACTGCAGAATAACATGACTTAATTAGATCGGGATTGTCTATGCTTTCTTCTGGAAACCTTGTGATAAATCTTAAGCCATTTCTTACCAAATGCATGATGCCATTTGCACTTTTTTGAACCGACTGAGCAAAATAGAACCCTAGGAAAACTTTACATATTTTTACTGTAAGCTGTATATATTTTAATAAAGTGTTTATTTTATTTCTATTACATTTTTTGTAGCATTTGATATCTTTGCCAAATCGAATGCTTGCACTTAATTGCTCTCATCCACAGAATATTTGAACTTCCTAAAACTGACACCACCTACAGTTATATAAATAAAATAAGATGTCTGGGGATTTTATTAAAGTGGACCTTTCAGTAACCTTATAAGTGTGCATGAGTAAATTCCTGACACGTCCGATAAATACATGGACTGTATAGTTATCTGTTTTCTACTTCTTACCTTTTTAAAAAGCAGTTCTGATCTGCAGGCAGATTTACCAAGGTTTAGATGATTTTGAGAACAGTCACAAGGATTGTGTTGTGTCCTAGCCATTATCTCAGATCAAGAATTGGATGCTAACCCTGGACAGTGTAATCTCAGAGTGAGTTCTGTCTAAAAGGTAAGAGTTTGCATGTTCTCCCTTTTGTCTGCGTGGGTACTCCGGATTTCCTCCCACACTCCAAAGACATACTGGTAGGTTAATTGGATCCTTTCTAAATTGTGTGTGTGTGTGTGTGTTAGGGCCCTTAAATTGTAAGCTCCTTGAGGGCAGGGACTGATTTGAATGTGCTATATACAGTCAGGTCCATAAATATTGGCACATCGACACAATTCTAACATTTTTGGCTCTATACTCCACCACAATGGATTTGAAATGAAACTAACAAGATGTGCTTTAACTGCAGACTGTCAGCTTTAATTTGAGGGTATTTACACCCAAATCAGGTGAACGGTGTAGGAATTACAACAGTTTGCATATTTGCCTCCCACTTGTTAAGTGACCAAAAGTAATGGGACAGAATAATAATCATAAATCAAACTTTCACTTTTTAATACTTGGTTACAAATCCTTTGCAGTCAATTACAGCCTGAAGTCTGGAACGCATAGACATCACCAGACGCTGGGTTTCATCCCTGGTGATGCTCTGCCAGGCCTCTACTGCAACTGTCTTCAGTTCCTGCTTGTTCTTGGGGCATTTTCCCTTCAGTTTTGTCTTCAGCAAGTGAAATGCATGCTCAATCGGATTCAGGTCAGGTGATTGACTTGGCCATTGCATAACATTCTTTCCCTTAAAAAACTCTTTGGTTGCTTTTGCAGTATGCTTTGGGTCATTGTCCATCTGCACTGTGAAGTGGCGTCCAATGAGTTGTGAAGCATTTGGCTGAATATGAGCAGATAATATTCCCGAAACACTTCAGAATTCATCCTGCTGCTTTTGTCAGCAGTCACATCATCAATAAATACAAGAGAACCAGTTCCATTGGCAGCCATACATGCCCACGCCATGACACTACCACCACCATGCTTCACTGATAAGGTGGTATGCTTAGGACCATGAGCAGTTCCTTTCCTTCTCCATACTCTTCTCTTCCCATCACTCTGGTACAAGTTGATCTTGGTCTCAACTGTCCATAGGATGTTGTTCCAGAACTGTGAAGGCTTTTTTAGATGTCGTTTGGCAAACTCTAATCTGGCCTTCCTGTTTTTGAGGCTCACCAATGGTTTACATCTTGAGGTGAACCCTCTGTATTCACTCTGGTGAAGTCTTCTCTTGATTGTTGACTTTGACACACATACACCTACCTCCTGGAGAGTGTTCTTGATCTGGCCAACTGTTGTGAAGGGTGTTTTCTTCACCAGGGAAAGAATTCTTCGGTCATCCACCACAGTTGTTTTCCGTGGTCTTCCGGGTCTTTTTGGTGTTGCTGAGCTCACCGGTGCGTTCCTTCTTTTTAAGAATGTTCCAAACAGTTGTTTTGGCCACGCCTAATGTTTTTGCTATCTCTCTGATGGGTTTGTTTTGTTTTTTCAGCCTAATGATGGCTTGCTTCACTGATAGTGACAGCCCTTTGGATCTCATCTTGAGAGTTGACAGCAACAGATTCCAAATGCAAATAGCACACTTGAAATGAACTCTGGACCTTTTATCTGCTCATTGTAATTGGGATAATGATGGAATAACACACACCTAGCCATGGAACAGCTGAGAAGCCAATTGTCCCATTACTTTTGGTCCCTTAACAAGTGGGAGGCACATATGCAAACTGTTGCAATTCCTACACCATTCACCTGATTTGTATGTAAATACCCTCAAATTAAAGCTGACAGTCTGCAGTTAAAGCACATCTTGTTCATTTCATTTCAAATCCATTGTGGTGTTGTATAGAGCCAAAAATGTTAGAATTGTGTAGATGTCCCAATATTTATGGACCGGACTGTATGTAGACTGATTAAAAAATATAAAGGAAGACATTGAAAACACATCAGATCTCAATGTGGAAAAATATGCTGGATATCTATACTGATATGGGCTGGGTAATGTGTTAGGAATGTAAGGGTGCCCCATCATTTCATGGAAATGAAAATTATCAACCTACAGAGGACTGAATTCAAAGACACCCTGAAATTCAAAGTGAAAAAAATTAGGCAGCAGGCTAGTCCATTTTGCTATAATTTCATTGCAGCAACTCAAAATGATGCTCAGTAGTTTGTATGGCCCCCACATGCTTGTATGCATGCCTGACAACGTTTGTGCATGCTCCTAATGAGACAACAGATGGTGTCCTGGGGTATTTCCTCCCAGATCTGGACCAGGGCATCACTGAGCTCCTGGACAGTCTGAGGTGCAACCTGGTGGTGTAGGATGGACTGAAACATGATATCCCAGAGGTGTTCTATTGGATTTAGGTCACGGGAGTGTGGGGGCCATTCAATGGTATCATTTCTTTCATCCTCCAGGAACTGCCTGCATACTCTTGCCACATGAGGCTGGGAATTGTTGTGCACCAGGAGAAATCCAGGACCCACTGCACCAGCGAAGGGTCTGACAATGGGTCCAAGGATTTCATCCCAATACCTAATGGTAGTCAGGGTGCCATTGTCTAGCCTGTAGAGGTCTGTGCGTCCCTCCATGGATATGCCTCCCCAGACCATCATTGACCCACCACCAAAACGGTCATGCTGAATGATGTTACAAGCAGCATAATGTTCTCCATGGCTTCTCCAGACCCTTCCATGTCTGTCACGTGCTCAGGGTGAACCTGCTCTCAAAAAAAGCACAGGGTACCAGTAGCAGACCTGACAATTCTGGTGTTCAATGTAAAATACCAGTTGAGCGCTATGGTACCGGGCAGTGAGCACAGGGCCCACTAGAGGATATCGGGCTTTCAGGCTACCCTCATGAAGTCTGTTCTAATTGGTCAGAGACATTCACACCAGTGGCCTGCTGGAGATCATTTTGTAGGGCTCTGGCAGTGCTCATCCTGTTCCTCCTTGCACAAAGGAGCAGATACCGATCCTGCTGATGGCTTAAGGACCTTATATGGCCCTGTCCAGCTCTCCTAGAGTAACTGCCTGTCTCCTGGAATCTCCTCCATGCTCTTGAGAGAGTGCTGGGAGACACAGCAAACCTTCTGGCAATGACATGTATTGATGTGCCATCCTGGAGGAGTTGGACTACCTGTGCAATCTCCATAGGGTCCAGGTATCGCCTCATGCTACCAGTAGTGACACTGACCCTAGCCAAATGCGAAACTAGTAAAAAAACAGAAAAGATGAGTAAGGGATAACAATTTCAGTGGCCTCCACTTGTAAAAACCATTCCTGTTTTGGGGGTTGTCTCATTGTTGTCTCCGTACACTCACCTATAACTCCATAACACATTCCATGCCTCCCCCATACACTCTCCATAAAACACTCCATGCATCCCCCATACACTCTACCCCATAAAAACGCTCCATGCTTCCCATACACTCTCCTATACCCCATAACACACTCCATGTGTCCCCCTTACACTCTCTAAAACCCCATAAAACACTCCATGTGTCTCCCATAGCACATTCCATGCGTCCCCCATACACTCTCCAATACCCCATAACACCCTCCATGCGTCCTTATACACTCTGCTATACCCAATGACACACTCCATAACACACTACATGCATCCCCCATACACATCCCTACACCCCCTAACATACTCCATGCATCCCACATACACTTGCCATAACACACTCTGTGTTCCCCATAAACTCTCCATAACCAGGAACGCACTGCATGCGTCCCCCATGCACTCTCCTATACCCCATAGCGCACTTCATGCATCCCCCATACACTCTCCAATACCCCATAGCGCACTCCATGCGACCTCCATTACACACTCTATGCATCCACCATACAGTCTCCATAAGACACTCCATGCATCCCCCATACACTCTCCTATATTCCGTAACGCACTCCATGCATCCCCCGTACACTCTCTTATACCCAATAGCACACTCCATGTGTCCCCCATACACTCTCCTATACTCCATAGCACAATCTAGGTGTCCTCCATAAACTCTTCTATATACCCTATACTATACCCCATAGCACACGTCATGCATCCCCCATATACTCTCCTATGCCCTGTAGCACACTCCATGCATCCCCATATTCTCATTCTCCTATACCCCATAGCGCACTCCATGCGTCCCCCATACATTCTCCTATACCCCATAGCGCACTCCATGCGTCCCCTATACACTCTCCTTTACCCCAAAATCACTTCATGCGTCCCGATACACTCTTATACTCCATGCGTCCCC